TGAATTCTGGTTGTGCTTGATGGCCGCGAACCGATTTTATGTGGAACACGGCGCTCAGCAATCTGTCAAAAAATGTTTTAGTACGACTTTGGTAAGCTACGGAGCTGCACCGCTTGATGGATTGTCGGAGCATTACGGCTGAGCCTCGCGGAGTGATACGTACTGTGCTTCAACGTAATATTACCCTACTGTGTATAAGGACCATAAATGGCACCTGTTAAGAGACGTGGTTGCGAAGCGGGTTACAAACTCCAGGCTGTCAGTCACGCAGTACAAGTTGGGAACAGAGCAGCTGTGAAATCTGTCTTTGTTATTGTGCTCAGTGTCTTTTAGTTTACATTTTGACTGCACAATTGTGAGCATTTTGTTATGCACAAAAACAACATTGTTTTCTTTTATTTATGGAGCATTATTATTTAATAAATGCTCATAATTTATTTTTGAGTAAATTTTATGTACATCTGCTCTATGTTAATAAAAGTGCCTGTGTGACATCTGGGACACAGCTTGACTAAGAACTCTCTTTTTGTTCTTACTTTATGGCTTTAAAAAAATATATCGAGATATATATCTTATATCGCCATCCAGCTAAAAAATATCGAGATATGAATTTTGGGTCATATCGCCCAGCCCTAGTTTCTATATTGACTAGAATTAAGATTATTTTTATTTTTCCAGTTCATGAGGACCGTTTTCTTGGCGATGCATAGGGCAGTAAAAACCATGTGGACTGTATTAGTTTCTGTAGTGACCTCATCCAATTTTCCCAACAAGCACACTAAGGGGGAAGTTGGAATTTTACATTTCAGACACTTTGATAAGTCTTCACATATCTCGCGCCAAAACTTCTGCACTGGTGGACAGAACCAAAGAGCGTGGATGTAATTGTCTGGTGTATTGCCTTGACAGTGTGAGCAGTTGTTGGAAGATGTAAAGCCCATCTTGAACATCCGATGACCTGTATAGTGCACGCTATGTAGTGTTTTGTATTGTATTAATTGCAGACTGGGATTTTTAATCAATTTAAAGGTTCTTAAGCATACCTGAGACCAGAAGTTTTGGTCTAATTGCTGACTGATAAATCTGCTTCCCACTTTGCAATAGGAAGGGATATTGATTCATCTAATTTAGAAAGTGTTCTGTATATTTTAGATAATAATTTGGGGGATTTAAGAGTAAGAAAATGTACCACACTTGGTGGTGTTTGTAATTCAACTTGACTGAGGTTAAATTTCTTTTTTACTATGGATTTAATTTGTTGATATTCTAAAAATCTTTTCTTGTTGATCCCATATTGTGAAACTTGTCTGTCAAATGGAATAAATTCTGTTCCCTCTAATATATGTTCTAAGTATTTAATTCCTTTACAACTCCATTCTGGGAAATTAATCATATTATTGTTTTGTAATATGTCAGGGTTATTCCAGATAGGTGTACGTTTGCATGGGATTAATGAAGACTCCGTTATTTTTAGAAACTCCCACCATGCTGTCAGAGAAAAGCTGATGTTGATGCTTTTAAAGCATTCATGTCTTTTGATGTTTGAGCTAATAAATGGTAGGTCTGAAATCTCTAGATCCTTGCATAGTGCCTGTTCAACATCTAGCCAGGGCTCATCTAAGAAGGTATGTTTTAACCATTCTGAGATGAACTGAAGCCTGTTGGCTAAGAAGTATTGGTGAAAATTAGGCAGATCTAATCCTCCCCTATCCTTGGTTCTTTGTAGCGTTTTTAAGCTGATACGCGGGGGTTTATCTTTCCAAAGGAATTTAGAAATATATGAATCCAGAGATCTGAACCAATCTTGTGATGGTTTGTTAGGGCTCATCAAAAATAAGTAATTTATTTTTGGCAAGATCATCATTTTTATAGTGGCGACCCTTCCCATGAGTGATATGGGTAACGATTTCCATCTAGTCAGATCGCCTTCTACTTTCTTTAGAAGTGGGATGTGGTTTAATTTAGTTAAGTCTGAAAGCTTAGGAGAAACATTAATACCTAAATATTTAATATTTCCAGATTGTAGTGGGGCAGAGGAAGAATTATGGAAGGAGCAGTTAATGGGAAGAAATGTAGATTTTGGTCAGTTAATTGAATAATCTGAAACTCTTGAAAACCAGTTTATTAGAGTAATTACCTCAGAGAGGTTGGTTTGTGTGTTTTGCAGAAAAAGCAACACATCATCCGCATAGAGACTGATTTTATGTTCTATGTTCTTACATTTTATGCCCTTAATTGTTGTAGCCTGTCTAAATGCTGCTGCTAGAGGTTCGATAAAAATTGCAAAAAGTGAAGGGAAGAGTGGTTCCTTGAATTAAGTGATACACCTAAACTGCAGCTCCAGACTTTTGTTCTTTTTGCCTAAAACAAAGACCGCAATGTCTCTGTGAAATACCTCAGCAGCTTTTAAATTACTGCAAGCCCAAATCTGTGAGAGGAGAAGATGTACATTTTTTTGGTTTGTTTTTGTTTGGTTTGTTTGGCCAAGCTTGTCAAATCCATCACATTTCAAGTGCAGAGTACAATCAGATTTGTTTTGACTCTCACTGCCAAACTTTCTTTTCAGGCAGGTTGACGGGTTACCACAACTCTTCCCAGTAAACAAGCAACTTATGAATACATGTGGCTTTTGTTTGGAGGAACAACTTCTAATTAGATGGTGTTGACAAAGAAGAAACAAAACTGCAGCAATGTAAAGCTAGTTTGAGCCAATAGATGAAAACTGTGTAACTTGGAGAGATATTTTGTCTTTTAATAATATAAGTGTAAGGTTGTAGCAGGATGACTGCACTGAATGAACTCTTAAAGTTAAACATTTCTCCTGCTGCACTGAGTCTGATATTCTGTCTTTTCTGAACCATGCCTACTTGCTTGCTCTGCAACATCTCCTGATGAGTCACCAACGCCGAACCCTGTTCATTTAAACAGCATTTAATAAACACTGTTAATTCATTTCAATTAATGTTATTAACATTAAATCCTGCCAGTTTGGCAGGTATAACCAGGCAAAAGGCCCTGGGCCTAGCTGCACCAACTGTTTAATAAGCCTGAATTAAGAGAACTTTTGCACACAAAATTAAACCACTCCAACTATTTACGTAGAAACTGCCAGGTAAAAATGTGCTTAACTGAATCAGTTAATGCTAGCTGTTATCTAATACACATGAACGAACCCAACAATCTACCAAAACTACTGTTATTTCATTAATATTTAATCAAATTAGCATTAGCATTAACTCAACAACCTAAAATTAGCTAACACGTGGCCTATTTAGAGTAGCTAATAAAACTAATATGTATACCCTGTATAGCAAACCACTGACAAAGCTAACATTTAAGTGCTAATATCTGATCTTTTAAGTTAAAGCTAGTTCAAGTGGCTAACTTAGGTTAGCAACTTGCTATTATAGTAACTAATATGTAACTTGTTAGGAGCGAGCCAACTCAACAATCGGATAAATCTAATGCTAGCCTGCAAACATAAGACTTATTTAAAAGTGTGCTAACTCAACCAACTGACATGTGTCACAAGCTAATAGTGATAATAGTAAGCAACACTGCAAACAGACCTGGAGCACTGGTTTGTGGAGTCATGTTTTCAAAGCTTTTTTGCATTCATCCTAGCAATTTGAAACCAGATTGACGAGTGCAGGACAAGAAGCTACGCTCACTGACCTGTCAATGACAAAGTAACCCTCGTCTTAAGCATGCCTTCTGTTCTGCTTTTTTACTCTAATTTGTGACCAAGAATTACAAAATAATCATCATATCATATTAAATAATACGTAAATCCCATAAAGGAAAGTGGTTAGTCAGGCTCAAGAGGCCTGGGGCTGTTTTCCCATAGATTTCAACAATGGATTAGAAACCAGAGGAGTCACACCCTGCTGATTATTAGACAATGCAGATTCTTTTCACATGTTTTTTAAATTTAACTTTATATAAAAGGCTACAGTTCACCGTCAACCCTGTGGCCCTTTGAAATGGATCCTTCACTGCCTTACTATGGTGTTCAAACTTCTTGGTATTTTTCAAATAATTAAATTTAGCAGCCAAATTCTCACATTTGGAAGAGCTGACAGACTGTCGCCTGCTGAAAGTGTCTTTTTTGTTGTTAAGAAAAGGGGGGGAGGAAAGCAGTAAACGTTTAATTATTTGCGCAACAGGGAAATAAAACTGTGATAATAGTTCCAGATAATTAAGCTAAAGCCCAAAATTAGGTAGGAGCGCAAACATCCTAAACGCTGCATGAAGTCTGGCAGCTGAAAAAATAAATAAATAAATGACAATGTCATAGGGAAGATTAAGACTGGGTTAGATCAAAGTTTACATTTAGATTAGTGGTAATCACAGTGCACAGTTTCATGAAATTACCCTGTGTCTTCTTGCTGAAAAAGGCACAACAAGCGCTGCGTAAAGCACAACATGGATGGCCTGTGGCACAGCTGGGGCGCTTCACTTATTGTAGGTTGTTAAAAACCATTTACAGAATAAAATTCAGGCAGTGTTTGAGGACATCAGCGTTTAAACATGAATTCTCGCAGTCTCAGTAAACACAGCGGGCAGATAAAGCTGAGCAGACCCAATTACCGAAGTGCATACTGGTAAGGGCAGTTTGATGAAGGCGCAGGGATCCTGATAACAACACAAAGGAAGTGCGATAAAGAAACAAAGAGGAAGGTAAATCCGCTCGTACAGGAACTTCTTATGCTTTTGCAAAAGTGCACACTGCTAAAATACTCATTTTCCTAAAATAAGTGCCTAAATAAAGTCACTATCATGCATTCCGTGTTGCGCGAATCTCCGAGCACAATGCGCACGCAAAAGTGAGCAGACAAAGCCAAACAACGGGGATGCTGCTCCTACCTTTGCACGACAAAACAAAGCAATCCTCTCTCTCATGATAACTTGTTTCTTCCGTGTTTCGAACCCCTTAGACCAGGCTTCACTCACCAAATCACCGTTTTAAGAGATAAGAGGAAGAGAGACACGGCGCTTACCTTTTGTTAGTTCCTCTGTCTGCCTGATGTATGACGGCGGATGTCTGCTCTCCACCGCTCCTCTGTAGATTTAAGCAGGGCACCAGCAGCAGCAGCAGAAGAGGTGGTTGCGAAATTGTTGGTACGCGCTTCGGCTTGTTTAGTGGGCGGCGTGGCTCTCCACTGTTTTCATCCCGTGTTTCCAACCAGCCCTCCCACTCCTTGCACTCACGCTGTACTCGCTCAGCCTCCTTCTCAAAGCGGATACGCCCTCTCACTGTCAGGGGAAGACAAAATAATGTGTATAAATAAATACATCACAGGCTGCAGGTATCAGAGTAAAACAGGCTGCGCTGCGATGTGATGCGGGTCCTGCTGCACTCCCGAGCTCCTCTGGGGCTCTAACTGCTCTGCAAAAGGCATGTGCGGTTTTAAAGTGGAAACAGATGCCCGGAGGAGGAGGAGGAGGGGTACAGTCTGTCCTTTTTGACAAGTGCCATTCAGAAAAGCTGGGGTATGTCTACACCCCACGCAACCACCCCCCAACTCCTTTCATTCCTTATTATATTAATGAATCAGAACCCTAGATACACAAAAACCCACGATGTTTGACCCAGTTGGGGCAGGGATAGCTCAGTAGGTAGAGTGGTGGCCCCATGATCGGAAGGTCGGGGGTTCGATTCCTCTGAACAGCTACCCTGAGGTACCCCTGAGCAAGGTACCGTCCCTACACACACTTCCCTGGGTGCCCAATGGCTGCCCACTGCTTCACTGAGTGAATGGGTTAAATGCAGAGAGCGATTTTCCCCACGGGGACCAATAAAGTACACTTTCTTCTTCTTCACCTCTGGTCTCCCATCCAGTCCAGACTTATTTGTGCCCCCTTTTAAGCCCTAACAACCCCCGTGGTTACCCAAGTTCCTTTAACTTGGTTGTCCTACTTTTTAAGTGGCCTCCATTTTACATTTTAAGTGCCTGCCCAGTATCGCCCATTCACGCAGTCATTAATTTCAAGCTAAATCTCCTCCTATATCCATTTCTTCCTAAAGGCTGTTCCCACTTGCATGCCATTTCCATGTATAGCTCCAGCAGGCGGCCTCCTCCAACAACAAGGAAGCTCAGGTCGTTGTCACGCCATATAAGGGCGGCTGTGAAATGTCATAAGTGAGTGAACCTCAACTATAAAAACACTGCCAGCTGTAGTGGCTGACATTCAACTACAAACTATGGATCTACCACCCACCTAAACACTAGGGCTGTTTTGACTGAGCATCCATGATCCCAGGGTTTTGTGGTTCAGATTCTTGTTTGCCATTATGATTTTTTTTATTCTTGATTCCTTTTCATGATAATTCTCTTCATGCACTGTAGGTTTTGGTCAAAGTGGTATTAGTTCCCTCAGTGTTTCCCCGCCTGAATCATCTTGTCTGTGTGATCAGTATTTCTCTTTTACTTTCTTCCTGCTTCACTTTGAAAGTTTAGTTTCTTTCCATGTCCTGCTTTAGTTAAAAACACCAGTTCCAAAAAAGGAACAGTTTGCAAATATCATATTTTATTCACAAAATACAACATAGAGAACTTATTAAATGTTTAAACTAAGACATTAAAATATTCGCTTGTTTTGAATTTCATGGCGGTATCAGAACTCATGAATGTTGTAGCAGGGGAAGCAAAGGGTTGGAAATGTAAGTGATACTAAAATAAACAGCTGGAGGAATATTTTGCAACTAATTAGGTTAAATGGGAAGTGGTCAGTTACAGACGGAGTCTAAAAAGAGCATCTTTGAGTAGCAGAGTTTCTCAGAAGTAAAGATGGGCAGAGGTTTACAAAATCAGCAAAACTCCATCTACAAATTGTTGAATCAAGACTTTGAATGTCATCCAGAGAGAATATGAAGAAATCTCTGTGTGTAAAGGACAAGGTGGAAAATCAATATTGGATGCTAACAAACACTGCCGTGTTCTCTGCGCCAAAGCCCATTTACGTCTAGCAGCTGTTCAAAATGACCTTCTGTTTTTCAGAAAACTGTACAATTGATATGTACAATTTTTTGAAAATGTATTTTCAGAAAAATTAATCAAATGTGTTTATGAGATTTGCAAATCATCGTATTTGTTTTTAATTACATTTTGTTTTAGTGTCTCCTTGCTTTGAGATTTAACTTCTCTGTCTGAATATCTTCATCACTTTTACTTTTCATTCAGCTGCTGCTTCCAATCTAACAATATAGATGTATTAATACAGTCCTGCCTCCATCTTTAGTGCATTGTCTGTTATTTTACCAGCCTGTGCTCCTTGTTTGTTTGTTTTTTGCCACTTCTTCTTCTTCTTTGTGGTTTTAATCAAGGATTGCTCTTTGTGTTTCCTTTTTGGAGTAGGTAGACGGATCAACTTTATCGCATTCTGTAGATTGGGTCCTCTACACTCTACACCGCCACATCATGGGATGTGCCAGCCTGGAAGCCCCACAACTCAAGGACCCAAAGGATTGGCTGCCCTGTCATATTATAGGCAGGATATGTTCACTGCCTGTCCTTCTGATGCCATGTCTACTGGAGCAAGCAAGCTGGAGGCAAGAGCCTGTAAGAAAGTTGGTCTCTGCGGGAGCATAAGGATTCCCAGATCGTGCTGAGGGAGATCGTTTTCTTTTCTAATTGGGAAAGATGAAACATTCTGCAGAAAGCCATAAAGAAACATTCAGAATTGCTTTGTTTCCTGTTGTGACACCTCCACACAAGGCTGCAGCGAGTCAAGCGTGCCTAAAATGCGAGCATTGAATGGTTATGGTTATGCACAAGCAATAACCAATAGATCTGTAATAATCATAGCTTTGGGTGGGTGCTTTTAATGTTGTGGCTGATCAGTGTGTTGCAGTTTAAAAGAATAACAAAAGTCTCTTTTAAATAATTGGAGGGAAGGCAGTGGAATTTGGCTTTGAGTTTACTTTCAAGTGATGTCAATTTCATCATTAGACGGTGAGCACAAGGCTCGTGGGGATATCCATATGCCTGCTAGGCTTCTGTGACTGTGCAGATTTGTCCAATAACATTACAGTGCACCAGCTACACATGTATTCTAGGCAGCGGACTTTGTTGTGCACATGGACTGTAAGTGATACGATGGCCTGTTCTACTTGTTTGTAATCCACTGAGAGTATAAGCAGAGGCTCAAGTCAGACGTTTTACCCAGAATGTTTGAGTCTCAGTCCAGGTTTATACTTAAGTTTTAGTTTTGCCTTCCCACTTTTATTTTCTGTCACTGTTTGCTTAATTTTATGCAGTAAAACTATGATTATGATTATGGTTTGGATAAGCTCAAATTTCATTGCTTTCTTTCTCCAATGATGATTTTACTGTACCTGTAATTACACCCCCATCTGCACGTCATTTCCTATAAAATCCTTTGTTATCCCCATTTAATACTGATGAGAATGCAAATGACCTATAAATAGGCAAAGGAGTACATTTTAGTAGCCATACAAATGGAAATGAAAACAACTGGCTTCTTAGCAGGAGCCTGATAGATTAAGCAGTAGGTGGGGGCCCACTGGTCACCAAACACCTCTATTGTTGCTAAACGACCCTGAGGCTAACCTAAACAGCCTAACTGTTGCTGTTGTTTACATATATATATTTGCTGTTTGTTGTATATATATAATTTTGCAGCAGGCGGTTCTGCTCACTAAAGTTGCCTTATTTGAACCAATTGTTACTCAGTCAAATAAAAGCAAAGATGCAGTAAAAACTTTTTTTAATCACAACACAAGGCACTCTAAGAGAGTAAAAGAGGTTTCTATTTAATATAATAGATTGCAGAAGATGAGAATATTGCCATATTCCCTCATAGGAAATTCAAAAACTACCATAATTGTTAAAGTCTGATCCTCTGAGAGTATTATGGGGGTATTATAACCACTTTCTGCCAGTGAAGGAGCTCTGATTTGCTTCAAAAGTGATTTCACCAGCATCAGATTGAACATTAGGATTAAATGTGATGAGTAATTAAAAGTAATGGCAAATGCAGCTCATAAGCGGACAGCTGAGGTAGATGCAGGGAAGTCTCTCAGTTAAATTATTAAAAGGGGGCCTTAGGATGCATTGAAAAAGATCTTAGATATACTGTATGTGTGAATGTGTGTGCTTAAGTTTCTTTGAAGCCACCTGTGATGCAGACCTAAGCCTCGGTCCCTCTAGAGTTCAATGACTGTATTGCTGCAGCCTTTAACACATTTGCTTTAATTATGGAGGATAAGGAGTTTGAATCTGTGATGCATCAAGACTCTGAAATGGCAACCTCCCCCTGGAGTCCACAAATGTCTGACAGAGCTTCAGGCTCCAGGGAAGTTTGGGAACTCTCATGCAAGATTGAGTTAATGAAAACAGATAGGACATCTGAAATGCTAATGCTGACTTTTTGGTGCCTAAATCTGGCTGCAGCCCATGGGACTCACTGGTTCAAATACATGAGTGAGCCTGTGATAGAGACGTGCACTTGTCACGGGAGAGCAAAGCTAAGCATTAGCTTACCCTCACTTAAATGCTGTCCATTCTGCTTTGCACTTACAAACAAAATGCTTGGCAGAAACCAAAAAATTGTCCTCAGGAGACCAACTTATAGAAGAGCTTTCACTTTACTCTGTCAGAGAGCAGTGAAGCTCTACGCTGCCCCAATTTCTTATCCTTTGTTCTACAAAAAATATACGAAGCTTGCTCTCCATTGACATGCACATTCGCTCTGTCCGCCCACATGCAGTTAATTAAAGGAACCACATGCACGGCTCAGCCAGCTTGTCAGACCTGCCAGTCATCAGCGCAGCGTGACAATGATCTGACCATCACTGGCTTAATTGGCATTCGGTAGACACGCTCCCCTCCTTACTGTAGGCTAAACAAACACACAGACAGGCAGGATGCAACCTTCAGTCTTCATCTCTCTTGATCGATAGCCCTGCAGCAGCTCACCGGACACGCGAGCAACCGCTGCGGGAGGATTCCTTAACCTGTAAACTTGGCTTTAAAAAAAACTGCACATTAATAGTGCTAATAAAGCTGGAGAGGCCAACTGAAAAGTTTTGGGAGTTCTTGTCTATTCAGAAAAAGAAATCAAATCACTGGATCAGGTTTAAAAGTTGAGAGCCTCAGCCAGCGCAGGAGACACATGGACAGAAACACATTCAACAAGCAAAGAGAAAAAGCTCTTAAGGTTCCTGGACACTGTCCGTGAGGTTAAACTACCCAGTTTGACTGATAAGATAAGACTGACGTGACTTGACTAACAGATGACACATCAGATCC